ATCCATGTCATCCCGGACACCTTGAGCTAGGACAGGATTTGTAACCTACCATTGTAATTAAAAGACCTGGATTTCACTTAAGCACCGAGTTCTTGCTGTGAGCTGATTGGCCAGTCTCCTATAATCATCCATGTGTCGCTAATGTTAATGTGCAACAGCTGGATGAGTCAAGGAAACAAACCAGTAAAAGCACAAGAAGAACTGAACAATTTAGGCAGTTTATAAACCTGAAGTTGTTCAAGGTGTCCGGGATGACATAGATTATCTGGTCATCCTACTGTATTATGCTGAAACATGTACAAGGTCAATTAAAGAGAGGCTCTTCAGAAAGAAAACGAGAAATCTCAAAGGTACCTGTAACAAAAGGTGAACTTTTAAAAGCTTTACATTAGAATGGTTATACTGTGGGGGGGTTTCATACATTATAGATGTAGCTTTGTCAACATAACTGGAATTGATATGATTGCAGGCTGAAGTCCTTCCATTTCAATTTTCACAAGAAATATAAAAAGTTCACGGAGTCCGAATTACACATCATGCCTACCTCTTCGGACATAAATACTTCATTGCTTTGGTTCAACTCTGCACTTGTCTGGTTTTATTTACTGAGAAGCTTGAAATGAAAACAGCCCTGTGACCTCCTTGAAGGAGTTGAGGCGGCCAAAGTTGCCTTTTTAATACCGAATCTGTCTCCATAAAGGAGATGGGCTGTACCGGGGCGGTCTGGCTACGGATGACAACATAGGCTCAGCTTTTTGGATCATTCATCTCGCCGAGCAATATTCATAAATTTAATTTTTCAATCCATTCTACTTTTATTAGTTTGGGTGTTATTAAATGAGATTGCTTCATCTTAATATATTCCCAGAGCTGTGGGAGCGGGACTGTGCACTGTTATTCAAATCCAATAACATGCCCTGTATTTTGTGAATGGCACTAATAAATGCCAGTCTCTGATACATTTACAGCTGTCCCTCGCACATCTATCACCGTGGGTTCTGGGTATCCTTGTGTCCTCTAGAAGTACGAAGGGAAATGGCTGCAGTCGCCTGAACCTTAGATCGATACTGAAGTTCACTTACACAACACAGAAGCCAGACGACTGACATGTTCGTCTGCACTTTCTCACAGTGAAGCCCTGAACCCGGAATCCCCACATGACCCCATTTTCACTACTCTACAGAGTAATGAACTCATCGAGTACCAGTACTCAATAAATCTGTCCTTGAGTACTACACAGAAAAAAATACCACATCACTCATAACCACTAAAACAACAATGTTTTTTTGTGTTTTCCAGAGTACATGGCATAGACAGAGATCTTCCCCTCCAAAATAACAAACACAGTTATCCAGACATCTGTAGTCCTGAGCATGTAGACCTGAGCTGCATCCATGCTCTTGACGCTATCTTGCTATGGCCATGGGTAAATGTCCACATTCCGCTTTACCTACAGTACCAGCAACATTCCTGCCAAACTTACCAGCAACAAAGAGTCTAAGAGCAGAGTAGGATACAAGTCTGTCTTACATAAAAAATGTACTATATATGAGAATAAAGACTGCATTGTAAAAAATAATTAAGATAATTAGTTGGTCTTCTGGGAGTGGGTAACCATGATTTATAGCAAATAAATACTACATGTTCTTATCAAAAGGACACCTATAAGCCAGCCTAATATCATTAACAAGTAAACTGTAAACTATGGAGTATCATTACCTGACCTTTCACATCACGGACACTCAATCAGCGATAGATGAAGTGAACGCCAGGGCATGGCAGTGTGTTTCAACCGCTAATTTAGTCCTCTTAAATTCGTCTAGGTTTTGAAGCATTAGCGAGCTGTTTCAGCAGGCATTGAAGCACTAGCCTTTGCCAAATGCTAGAGAGCTAAAGCGTTAGCATTGCCAAATGGTTTCAGTACGGCTGAAACATTAGCTTCTCTAACACAGGTAACCCATCAGCATCCCTGCCTTGCTGCCTCCTTTACGTACATACCGTACCCATGCTAGTCCTCATGGAAAGATTGAAGCTTAAGAAGCTTACCTATTTTGGGGAAACGACCTTTAGTTTTAATATAAATATTTTCTATCACCATTATTATATAGTGAAATCTATGCAGGTGATCAAAGGAGTGTTTTTTTTCATCCATATGAAATGCCACAGGGTGTAGGCTTGTGATTGAGGCCCCGTCACTTACCCCCCATCCTGCCCCTACGCCTCTCGCCTTTGTATTTACCTGCCCGACAATGGAAATGAATATGTGTCAGAATCCCTTCCTTCTATTTACTTGCTGGGCTTTGCCGAGGCAACTTTATGTGTGGCAACATTATCAAGAGCTTCATGCAGAGCCCCTTCATCATCTTCACATCTGTGCCCGCGCAACACTTGTCACTGTCAATCATGCCGCAGTAACACACAGCTGATTCTCTCATTTGGTTTAATAAAATCTCTGGGCTTATTTGCACTGCAAATCATTATACTGCATAATTGCTGCACTGAGGTGTAAAGCAGTCTCTGGCCTGAGGGACAAAGGAAAGCTATTGATATATGAAGATTTTTTTTACCTATTCCCCACCCAAGTCATTCAATGCCTAAAATGAATGTTGCATTTGAATCCAGCGCAGGTTCCCCAAATGCAGCCTAATGTTGTTATTAGTTATTATAAGGACGTGGAGTCATTTGTTCATGCGTTTCTGTGTCTTTGCCGTCAAGCCAAATTTCATTGGGAGTTGCCACATACTATTTGTAACTGTCATTTTAAACCCAATTTCCAGGCCTGAACCGGGAGGGGAGGGGGGACCAAGGATCTCCGAAGAGATGGACTGATCTGATTTACAGCCGCGGCAATTGTTCAAATTGAAGGAAGTGTCACTGTGCCGCTCCGGCGCCCTGGCCGGCTGACAAAAGGGAGCGTCCCTGTGGGCTAATCAGAGCCGATAACATTTACACAGCCATGTTTGACTGGGTAGTCTTCAAAAAACATGTTCATTGAGTTGATCTCTCGCAATTTTTGCATCACTTCTTGCACGGACTGAGAAATGCACATTTTCTTTTGCCATCACATCAGACACGTAACCGTGTAGGTAAATAATGGGGTTGAACCCCCCACCAAAAAAAAAAAAAAAGAATTTGCTACCAATCAGGCACATAGCCAGTTAGCAAACTTACGAGTTTGAACCCCCGTGAAAAGCTATCGTCAGGGTAATGGACAGGGCCTGCCCTGGATGCCTGGATGCTGCAGCAGCCCAGGTGAGATTCTGCTGAGCACCTCCACGCCCCAAAGCAGCCGAAAACAAATTTTATCTGGCTGCAAACTAGCCAGCACACATCTGATTTACAGGAAAAGTGGTGAAATATTAAAACTAGTGTAAGTAACCGTAACATCGTGGAATGCAACTGGAGATATTCCTTCTGATTTTTTTTTCTCTCGATATTCTGCTCCCCATATCCAGACGTCGCCCAGGTGGTCGCCTACGTCATCGCTGGACACCTTCTGCCTACAGGCCAGCATGGTACAGCGGTGCAGTATACTATGCCATACCTTTCAACCACATATACTGTAATAACTGTATTGTGGCTTAAAAAGCAACATTGTGTCTCACACTTCCTGGGCATATGTGTGGAGTTTACATATTCCCACCAAATTTGTCTAGGTTTTCTTCCCTTAATGTGACACGCAGTGCAGGTGAATTGGGTGTCTTGCCCTTAGTTGTGCCCTGTGATGGACTGGCATTCCATCCAGGATATCTAACACCCTGAGCTTCATGGGATGGGTTCCAGCTTCCAGGCACACACATTATGGGAAATTTAGAGATGCCAGTTACCCTGTCTGCATGCCTTCAGACTGTTGGAGGAGAATGGAGTTCCCTCATGAAATGCACTCTATTCCTGAAGAACAAATGAGATTCAAACCCCACCTGTGGAAGCAGCAGCCCACAGTGCTGAGCCACCACACTGAATCTCTTAGAGCGATAATTTTGTCAATATGGACTGGCATCACCTAAGAATGTTTGTAAACGCTCGTCATCTGTTATCTATACATCTTGAATTACTTAGGAAAGTCATCTGAATGCATTTTGAAGTTTATTTCTGATTTCCTTTCATGAAAAAAAACACTCATGGTCTTTTAGTATCCAAGGCCATTGCACAAAATCTGAGAGTAAATTGTCCTTGTCCAGACCATGGTGGCAAGAAAACAGAATTAGATTCTAAGCAATAATTAGTCAATAATTGGCTTTTACATTCTAAGCTGGACAATGCCATTTTCCGCAATTAATTTCAGCAGTGAAGCATTAAATTAGATTTATTCTGAATTATTACTGAACTTAATTGTCAGTAAATTAACCATTAATCATAACTCAATAGTTATTTTCACATTCATAGCTTAGAAAAAATAAGCAGTTAAGAAACTTGAGCAATAGACCTACTTGTACAGCTGGACTTTTTTCAGTTTATTCAGTGCATATATATATATATATATACAGTGTGTGTGTGTGTGTGTGTGTGTGTATATATATATATATATATATATAATATATGAATCCTTGCTTATGTATGACATGTGACAGTGGTTTACAACTCAATAAATTAAATAACAAGGATTAATGCTATATTAATGCGCTTCATTCTCTTTCGGTTAAAATAACTTCATCAACTTTGACATTGTTCTTTCTTTCCTAATAATTTCTACTTATTACAGTACATAACAATCAATGTAAGAGGAAACCTTACGTTTGTATATAAGTTATTTGAAATTAGGAAATGCAGTTAATTTCATCAATAAAATGTGTCGTTTACGGTCCATGTAAAGTTGTAAACAATCCGTAGTCTTTCTTTCTTGATTGACGTAACGCTCACCAATAACACGATCCGCTCGACCACAGGAAAATATTGGCCTATCAACATTAATCTGTGTGGGTTTTATAATGATTGACAGTGGTATTGAGCAATAAAAATGATCACGTCGAGTACTAAAAGAAGTTTAGCCAATCAGCGCTGAGATCACGCTGAGCATTGTATCCAATTTCAGTTGGGTTGGTTTCGTGAGAAAAGGTGGAGAGTTATGTTTGTGTAAAAAATGTCGGGCAGTCGATAGGGATCGGTTCGCGCACTGACAACCAAAACAACAGTCCTCTTAAAGTCGTCTGATAGTAACACGCTTTTTGCTTTTTATTTCGAAAGTAGTATGCGATAGTGTAACTAGAAGATCATAAGAGGTGAGTATACTTCCTGAGCTATTTAATATCTTCCTGTGACGATTGTTTTCAGTGACGTGGAATTAGTTAAAACTTTAATTTCGTGACACGGTCAAACATTTGTGAACTATTTTGTCGCCTTTACGTGCGTTGGGCGAAGGGGGTACTAGTGCAAGGTTCACTTGCATAAATATCCCGTGTTGAAGCTAAAGTGTTTGTGTCGGCGACTTTTTTATCGAGAGGCCCCTCAGCGAATCACATTGACGCATTCGTAGTCATGGCTAAGTATTGGCCAATGACAATCAAGAAAATGAAGTTGCACCGCCTTCTATAAAGTGCGGTTGAGGCGAAGTCAGGTATTTTGTCTGGCAGGTTTACTTTGAGGTCTAGCCAAGGAAGTCTGTGAGACCCTTATGACAGATAGATTATCCAACGCCGGTGACGCATACTGCGGCTAGTTCTGGGTTTCTCACGTAAGTTTATTTGGATCATATTGTATCGACGATGAGCTCGTCGCTAAAATACCGTTTTCTTGTATGCTGGAATGGTTTGAAATCAAGTAGAGTAGGCAGCGAGTCAGCTGGCCGGCTAACCAGGTTATCTGAAGGATGTGAGAATGAAACCGTTATCCTCTTCGGTGATTTATTGTTTGAGGTCGTCGATTAACTGCAGAAATCTTCTTCATTTTGCTTTTTTTATACTTTGCATATTATTCCCTGAGACGCGTATGCTATATACAGTAGCTGACATTTGGGGGGTAGGCTACGTTTTTTTTTACCGTGCAGTGAATGAATACAGAGCATGGATCTCCCTCGCAAATGGGTCAGCTATTTAAGCACCTTTCAAGAATAACAAAAGCATAGTTCGTTTTTCATTGGCTTATTTACATGTTCTAATATTCTTAATGCTTATAAGGTTGAGGTGTTTTCGGAAATGAGTAAGAGATAGCCCTTGTATTTAGATGAATGGACACCATGTAAAAGCTGACGACCTGTGTCAGGCCATTCAACGGCTACTTGATCCTTCTGGCGTTTGCCGGGCCTTGGCCTTATGATGCCGTTGGGCTGCATTCCTGCTGTGAACCCTGTGTACAGTATGAAATCATTGACTCGCTTTCCAAACCGCTGTCAGGAGATCAGCTCAGCGACAACTGTCACGCCCCTCACAGTATCCCATTGTGTTTACAGGCAGAAACTCATCTGTCATCCCCTCTGACCCATCGGCCCCCACCTCAGCTGTGACTGCGGATGTCAGAGGCCGTGGGGCTCTCGAACTGGGGCTGGCAGTGAGGCTGAGTTCAGGCCCGGTTTGCGATCCCTGAGTAATGAACACGTTCTGGAGCATGTCTGCAAACGCGGGTCGTAAGGTACGTTCATGCAAAATCTGCTTGGGCAACCTAGATATCAGATGCTCTGGTTTTCCATTAAGAGTCTCAAAACGCAAATCTTTTCACCACTGGGAAATCTAGGAAAATGGGTGTTGTGAAGAACATAGTGTTGTGACCTAAAAGCCCAAGCAGTTTAAATGGTCTAATATTTACCTCTTGCTGGAACACGGGGTCTGGATCTGTGTGGTTCTCTTGTCAGCCTGTTAACATAGTAATGAATGCTCTAAAGAACGCATTCTTGTGTGAATGGTGGTTTTTTTTATCACAAGACTCTTCTAATAGAACCGATTTAGATAATTACTCGCTAGTTAGACAGATCAAGCAGTATCTGAGCAAGCAGTTTACACTCTTGAAGTCCACAGTTTGTAGTACAGTGGGAGGTTTTTGCTCAGAAATAATTTTGCTGGCAAGCTGAAGAGTAGTTGAAAGTAAATAATCATTTGACTTAAAAGGAATAATTTAATTAATGGAAGTAAAATATGTTTTGTTGAGTTTGAGGTGTGTTTGCATGCACTATAGATACAGGATATTATTTACAAGCTGAAGTTTAACATCTACTTGGGTTTTGTATGGCGACGGGTGTGGCAACTTTGCTGTATATGGTTAATAAATCTGCTTAATTTTTAGGTTCAAGTTGCAATGCAGCTATTAATGTAACTGTCTGGCCTGCATGCCCCGGTTTGTCAGAATGCCGGTAGACCGGTATGGCCCTGTTGGTCTAGCCTAAGGCGTGCCTTGTCATAAAGCTGAATGTCACTTATTGCATGACTGTTTAATATTAGTATGTTTCTCTAAAGACCAAAGGAAACTGTGTTTGGGATCACCATGCATTTCAAACATGGACCTGTTTGAAGGATTGTGTCAGGAAGAGCTCTTTGACTTTTCTTAGGCATTTGAATATCTATTCTGTTGATTTGAGCAGACTTGTCTGTGATAGTTATTTCTACATTGGTAACACTTCAAAATCTGATGGACTGTAATTTTGTAATGCATGCGGTGAAACGGTTATCTGTAATTGGCTAAATGTTAATGCGGTTTAAGATTTACTTTACTTCAGTAGAAAATTTATTTTATATGCATAATCTATGAGCCATATGTGTTTAAATACAGGTCTTTCATTATTCTTAAAAACATTGAAATGGCCTCCCTTAGCTGATTCATGCAGGGATTTTATTCTTTCCTGTGGAAAAAATGAAATTCCACCCATGCATCAGCGTCCTGATCTCTGAAATACTACCGTTCCCCCAGAAATGCAAGTCCTGCGTCGTTTTCTGTTAATTAGGTCACAAGGAGGCGTAATGTTTGGAGTAAGGATATGGGCTGTACCATAGTCTTCATTTCCTGTGCTGAAAGGAAAGGGTGGAGCCAGACTGGAATGTTGGTGGGGTGTTGGAAGGACTGCCCCACCCAGATAGAAGGGGGTAATGTTTCAGGGATTATACTTGTGGAAATGCATCTCTTACTGATTGCTTTTGCCAACCCCCTGTCAAAAATTCTCTTGTCAGTTTCCGTTTAAGTTGGTGTTGGCTCGTCGCAGGCAGTTATGATGTAGAGTTGACAAGCACGCCCTTGCCCCAGTAACGTATGCTAGTTCTGACCTTGAGCTGTAAACCTTGTGCGTGTTTTGCCATTTTATGGGGAGTTGTGCTGGGAATCCCATAAGTGTCAGACCTGTATTTTACAGGTATTCGTTTTGCATATGACTTCGTTCAAATGTATTTTAAGAATGCATAAGCTGATAAGAATGCTTCTGTTTTGCAATCACACACTTGGTGCTCAGTCCATTTTCATGGTCTGCTTGCATTGCATTGAGAATCCAAAGCATGAGCTGTTGTCTTATATCCCAATGACAGAGATCTGACAGCGAGGACAAGGCAGGACCCGGGGAGCAGCGTGTCAGCCCTCCACGGGCCTCGTTTGGCAAGAAGCAGCTGCCCTCCATCCCCAAAAACGCGGTGCCAGTCACCAAGCCTGCATCGCCCGCCCCCTCTGCCCAGTCCACCAATGGCACACACGCATCCTACGGGCCCTTTTACCTGGAGTACTCTCTGCTTGCAGAGTTGTAAGTGTGCCTGTCCTTTCTACCCTTTATACTGTGACACGTGAGGTGTGTGTATGTTTTTTTTTTTTTTTTTTTTAAACCATTTGCATCCCAGGTATGTTGCTAGAAGCATGATTGAACAGATGCAAAGCTTTATATTTTGATGGACTGCAAAACGGAAAGCAGTCAATTGTCTAGTGAGCAAAATCACGAAAGGCAAAGTAAATTGTGTTTACAGTGTCGGATCCTGGTGCTGCTCTGCATAATGTGTTTCTGAGAGCGTTTAGTCTCCTCCTGGGTTCCCTTAGCTTCTCATCTGAGTCTATATCACTTAGAGAGCACATGCCTGGGCCCAGTTGGATGTGCAGTTCACTGCTGTTGTCTCCCCAGTACCCTGGTGATCAAGCAGAAGCTCCCTGGAATATATGTGCAGCCATCATACAGATCAGCATTAAGTATGACCCCCCCCCCCCCCCGAATAATCTCATGTGGCTGAGTGGAATCAGAACCTAATCATGTTACTTCTAATTTCAGTGTGGTTCGGGGTCATCTTTATAAGACATGGCTTGTACCAAGATGGGGTCTTCAAGTTCACCGTTTACATCCCCGATAATTATCCCGACGGGGACTGTCCTGTAAGTGCTGTAACTTCTCTTAAGTTGTGTCACTTCTTGAATGTTGTTGCATTTATGCCAATCAGGTTATCTTCCATTTTGTCACCTTAAGGGCTGCTTGCTGACTTTAAGCGGAACTATTGTGTAGACTAACCCTTTCTGTGGCAAACAGTGATATGCAGATAGGACAAGGAATGGGAGTCTGAAGCCTGAGGCAACACGCATAGTCTGACACCCTCGTGGTATTTCAAACGCTCAACGGAAGAGATGGGTGCACCTGTCATGAGGATGATGCGTTTTCGGGGAAAGCGGGCTGCTTCCGTTGCATTTCCTGAGAGTAGTAAAGAATTTCTTGTATAACATGGAACTGAAAATGATGCGGATTAAATTTCATGGAATAGGACTTGTTGTGCTGTAGAACCTGGCTGTACAACTTTCAGCCCAGAATGAACCTTTGGGTTTTGTATCTTGGATAAAGCTTTTTGCCAAGATGGAAGTCCTGTCACAAACCAGATTCCCGTTTGATGATCGGTGGACAAATGGCAAAAGTTTGCTGGGGTGCAAACAGGGTTGTGCGCTACCAGTATGAATTCTTGTTGGCCTTCACACACGCTTGGCTAGAGCGGCAGTCTCACTCATATCCTTTCCCGACTTGCTTGCATTTCAGAAGGTGGTCTTTGACATCCCAGTCTTCCATCCTCTGGTGGACCCTGTTTCGGGAGAGCTTGACGTCAAGAGAGCTTTTACCAAGTGGAGGTCAGTATTCTCCCAGTCCTGGTCAATGTTTGGGGCTCATGGCGCGCACACACACAACATAGGTTGTGGTGTTAATGTTATATTGATAAATAGTGTGAAGCTTATAGTGAAATGTTACTTCTAAAATCCTCAGACACCACCAAGTTAACTCTTACTCTATACCACAAGCTACCCATACAAGATGAAAGCACCATGCTTCCATTATTATGAGAAAATCGAAGCTTCAGTTCTCACAGTGGGTGAGATTACTTTAGGAATCATTGACTGGTTTTAGCCGGTTGGTCTATTTTGAAACCAATATAATTTTCGCTAATCATTGGTGCATGGGTGTTTCTGGCCTATGTTCTGGCTTTGATACAGGACTACACTGGACCTGTTACTTTGGTTGACCTGTCAGCTCGTGTGTACAACACACAAATCAGAATAAACCATTGTTGATTTTGCAGATGTCGTGCTAACGTCCACGTCATACCTGCTTTCTGTCCCTCTGAACCCACAGACGGAACCACAATCATATCTGGCAGGTGCTAATGTATGCACGCACCATCTTCTACAAAATCAGCACCCAGGAGCCCCTCAACCCAGAAGCTGCTGTGCTGTGAGTCTCTCGGTGTGGCCTTTCATTATGCACCGACTGCTTAGGTGAAGGTCATGGTGACCAGCTTAAGCAGATCAACTGCCTGTGCCTGTGAAGTCTGCAACCCAGTGTTTCCCAGTCCTTGGGGGACCTAAAGACAGTATATGTTTTTGCTACCTCCAAGCTCCCTGTAGGAGGGAGCAAAAATGTGGACTGTCTGGCAGGGAGCTCAGAGGGAATAAAAACATGGACTGGCTGTGGGTCCCCTAGGACTGGATTGGGGAAACACAGCTCCTAGCTGATCACGAGGCTTGCATTGCACTGGTAGTGAATTACTTATGTTGGGGTATGAGACGCCTTGCCTCTACTACAATAAGCTGGTCAGTAATTTGGCAGGTGGCTTTTAAATGTAGTTCTGTCATGCTTCCTCTTTTGACAGCAGCTATGACTTTCCTCCTAATGCATGCTTCTGTCTTGGAGAGCTGAACAGCAGTTGGTGCTGTGGTTGGCTTTGGGGCTATTGCTCCTGCGCTATGTGACCACAGTTCGCACACGTTTCCTGCAGACCCACTTGTTCAGGCAGACCACCCTTGCATGCAGCTCACATTTTACGTTTTGCATCCTCGCAGGTATGAAAAGGATGTCCAGCTCTTCAAGAGCAAGGTGGTCGACAGTGTGAAACTGTGCAACAGTCACCTGTTCGATCAGCCAAAAATAGATGACCCCTATGCAATAAGGTATGTTCAGATAAATAAAAGATATTGCTTCCTGTGGCAGTAAATGCAAGAATGTATGTCACCAGTTGCTTAATGTTTATACAAACTTCTGCAAATGTTCAAGGCATCATTTAGTTATTTACTTGGAAAATCAACATTGAGTTGCATGTCTGAATATTTTCTAGTTTCTCACCATGGAATCCAGCTGTACATGAAGAAGCAAAGGAGAAGATGTTCACTCATAAAGTGAGTCCTTCAGAATAGCTTTGGGTCATGAATGCACATTCTTTAAGGCACTTAACTCTGAAAAATAACATCTAGTATGAGGGAGTGAAAATGCTAAGTTGCTTTGTATGAAAGTGGTGCCCAAAAGTTGCTTGGTTATTTTTCATCTCTGAGGTGAGTTGACTGAATGCCAGAGGGAGAACTGAGGTACCCATTGGGAGGTCTTTCATTTATTTTCACAGAGACGGCCTGAGGATCATCACAAGGGACTGCAGGTGTCTGGATTGTCGTGGGTAAAACCAGGATCCACACAACCCTTCAGTAAAGAGGACAGCAGCCTCCAGACATGAACCTGCAGCTCAACATGCTGAACACTAGAGGGAGTCACCAGCACAATGGCTAATACCCCAGACTTGCTAGAGCAACTTCTTTTGTGTAAATGAATTTGATTGGTTTAAACTTTGTCAGTTAGTATTGATACTGTTCTAAGTTACTGCCCAGAATAGGTTAAAAGTAGGCTTTTGATATCCCTGCTATAAATTGAGAATAAATTACATTTGATGAGTCTGCAATGCTTAGAGCCGTGAATGACTACAGGTTTTCCCTTCCCCTCCTGATCCATATGAATGGTTTACGGCGTCTTTACAAACGAATGCTTAATACTATATTCTGATGGGCCTGTCTCATCAGTTGTATATGGCTTAGCCATATGTGTCACGTCTTAAATAGTTCTAATATATATTGACAGAGCAAGGTAAATATGGTTTTTAAGAAGGTAATTTAATCATGATCCATGCCTACTTCTGTAATGTAATTTGAAGTGTTTGGTTTATCATTTAGGCTTATTGATGTGTAAATATTGGAAGGATTTGTGTAAATGAAGTTGTTTGGACAGGTAGTTTTCTGGAAATTCTTTTTGGCTTATTATTTATGTACATCTGGAAAGCTTTTTTTATGTTTGATTTACCATTTGGCTCTGGCCTTTGTTTTCAAACGAACTAGTTTTTTTTTTTTTTTCTCCCAGAGGAAATTACTTCAGACCTTTGTTTGAGATACTGTATAGGCAATGCATTTTTAAAAGGCAAATTTTCATTGGAATAAATTCAATAAAATCACTGAACCTGAGTATCGGTTTTGACACTGGTAAAACTATATGAATGGTCTTATCAATGTAACTTAAATACAGTTGCCAATGTAGTGTTAAATTGATTCTGCTCAACATAACCCCTTAACTCTACCGAAGAGAATAGGCTACATTCATCCATCGTATAATTGTCACCTGGAGCCTATTGCGGGTAGCACAGGAAACCCGACAGAGGTGAATCCTGAAGAGGTTCTCAGTCCATCATATATCACACTCACACATACAATACACTACAGGCAATTTAGACACACCGATTAGACTTACTGCAAGTCTTTGGAATGTGAGAGGAGACCAGAGTAGCAGGAAGAAACTTGTCAGATGGTGGTTAAGACTGTAGCCTCACATTTCCAGGGCTGTGGGATCAATTCCTGATACTCAACTTCCAGGTTCACTGTGACCCCGCATTAAATAAGCACTCGGAAAACAGCTGGATGTTTAAGTCTCACAGATACATTCCAATCCTGATGTCCATAGTTTGACTTGTTCTCCCATTATAATTTGACTACAAAGGCAGCACCTGTCTCATACCTTGTGGTTACTGAGGAGGAAGCATTTTAAAAACTCGTGTGCAAGTAAACAACGTTGATTGTTATTTTTAGAGATTTGAATCATATGTTTTTTTTAGTCATAGGTGGCCTTTATTTATAAAGTTGCGTTCACCCATTGCTTACGCCTTAAACATTTAAAACATTTTGCAGGAAGTGACTAAAATCTGCAGTGATCCTAGAATTAAATTTCAACATATAACATATATAATATGCATACTATTGTTAAAAAAAATGCACTATTGACCTTAAAAAAGGTCCTCCCTGTTGTTATTAATGGGTTTTTCTTAAGGGCAGCACAATGAATAAATTGGCCATTTAATTTGCATTAATCAATTGGCATCAACATGTTTACATTATTGTATCAGGACTGTACGCGCTGATCCAAAAACTACCGAGGTTCACTGTATTATATCTGAACTCCGATGGAGACTCATATTCTAACACGATTTTACTTTTTGACCACGTCTGGTGTGGGAATTAAACATTTATTTTAGATATAGCGCTACTGAACGGGTCCGGGGTTAAGCAGGCGCTGTACCGCGACCGGCCACCTGAGGACGCGGCTCACTGACGGACGGCTGCCAATACGCGACTTTCTGCTGTCTCTCGGCAGACCGCCTCGGCGTTAGTATCCGGGAGAGTGCGGTTCGTGCGACTCAAGTAAAACCTCCGCCGATTGGCTTCACCCTGGAAGCGGCCATCTTGTGCGTGCGCTCCGGCGGTGCCCAGGCAGACCTCGCGCTCCGTCCGACGGCAGGTGCGTCTGGACACAGGTGAGGCCGGAAGGCGCGCCCGGCCGGCGCGAGCATCGGCCCCCTCCCTCCGCCCTCCAGCGGTCCGAACGGGACCGACTCCCGACCGTCCAATCAGAGGGCGAATAACTGGATATGCAAATTAGACGTGTCATTACGTCGGCGGTGGCGAAACCGCTGAGGTCGCCGGCAGCGCTACAACTATAACTTCGTGATTAGACGTAATTTAAAAAAGGGGAAAAAAGAAAATTAATACACTGACACGTCGTGGCCCGGGAGACCGCCGCTTCACTTGGGGGTGGGGTGGGGTAAGTAGTAACGCTCACTTTGTACTAAGGCTTAGCGGCATCGTGGCTGTCATTTCTGATGCGGGACGCCGTCTCAGGGAATCCCTGCCTGGGATCGGCGCTCCGGGCTCAGCTTCTCTCTCCATCTCGCCGCTCCACCCTCGGCTGCGGGCTCTTAGACAGCGCAGGGGCGAAGCCCTCCGGGGCGGCTTACATGACAGACGGCGGCACCTAGTTTTACTCGTAAGTTTGGTGCGTTGATGTGTGGCACTAGGCGGCATTAAAGTAAGACGTCCGGGTGCCCCCCTCCTGATATTTAAGGAGACCGGCGGGGGTGGGTTTCGGATTAAGAGATTCCCTTATACGATACACGGCAGCACCTCCGACTACGTGGGGTAGTCTGGATGTGTGAATGACGATGGACCCCCCGCCCCCCATCCGTTTCCCGGTCCGCTGCCAGGGAGGGGTGGGGGAGCGATTTGGGAACACATGTGCGGGTCGCATCTTGGACGGGGTCTCGGCGCAGCTGGCGAGGGTGGGCGAAGTCTTGGCCAAACTCCCTCTTATTTAAATATTAAAGGGAGAACATGTCGGTGTAATCAGGGTTACGGACGATCGCCGGCTCGCAGTTATCCGGCGGAGTTTCTTTAAGTCCCCGACGGCACGAATCGCCGAGGACGATGTAAGGTTATATTATACAGGCTCAAAGCCGTCTGCCTTATTCCGGACTGAAGTCAGGTGCAGGTGTGGACGGTAATGCCATCTGCCCGCACGTTTAAACGGCCACCATTATAACGGAGCAGACGCCCATGGCACTTACGTTTACGGCACATAATGACGAAATGTGACAAGATGCCCGGGGCTGCGGTGGCCGGAGCTCGGTACGTACCGCCGGCCGAGCGGCCAGCCCGCAAGCTGCCATTTTGACACCCGGGAATGTTATTTTTTTATTATTTGAATTATTATTCTATCCGCCGAGTTTGCGATGATAAGACCCCCGTCACTGAAATCGCCAACGCCTATATATTTGCGGGGGGAGGGATAACACGTGTGGCGAGATGATATGACGCTGCGCAGTGGAGAGGTGCAGACCTCACACCCCCGACTGAAAGGCAGGGCGGAGAAGGAAGGGCGAAGGCAAAGCCGCCTGCAGCAAGTCCCCGATCGCTGTCTTCCCGGGGTCTCCTTTAACGTGCCCCCAGTACGCATGGCAGGAAACACCGGCGACCCCCCCTGGGAGAACAACAGGTTGCTCAGCATCGGCCCGCCTCGCGGGTAGCGACCTGTCTGGCACCGGTGACACGTTTCCCCGAAAAATGGACGTTCTGTAATGCGGATAAAAATAACGATTCTTAGAAAAATACCATTGCAGTGAAATGTTTTTAAGAGGAAATGATGAACGCAATGTGCTATTCGTAAACAGTACTTCTCCAAACGCAAGAACTCAGATTTTTTTTGTGCTTAAAGGCTTGTTTTGTTTACTCGTTTTTTCATTTAAGATTCTGCTCATCTGTTGATGTCAAAAGACGAACACACGGCTGCAAAGATAAACTTGATACTGAGACCCAAGACCAACCCTCTTCAATATGCCCCGCAAACATTACTAAGGTCTGTTTGTGTTTTACCAAACGGAATGTTATTCAAGTTCAGCTAAATGCACTGCCGATAAATTTCAATAAGAATCACAGAAAAAAAAATCAAAGAAAGACGGAATTTTCAATTTAGTGATGCCAGTTAGGCATGTCTACCTGTTATATTGACCCCAAGGGGAAATTCAGTCGCATAAAGCAGTAAAGTAGCATGCAGCATGTAATACAAACACAAGACATACTGTGAGGCTACAGAGGTTGTACAAATGAAGTAACAGGATATATACATAGACGTCTTTACATTTCCTGTGAGTATAACTGTGTTTACTGTAATGTTATTTGCCTATATGACGGGAGTCCTCCGTAATCTGTATCCTCTCAGCTGCTTTGCTACCTGTGGCAGATGGTGCACACATCTGGTTGGTGCATTACTGGGTCTGACATGGAGATCTGCAGCTCAGTTTGACGCATCATAAACTGGTCTTTGGTCGACCTGCTGCCGCCTGATGGAACCCCAGCTAAATATCGGGTCATTTTGCTGCTTATTTTTTCCAGACATCTTTTCTTCTTGTTCGCCAATAAAAAGGGTCTCTGACTTGGAATGTCCAAACCATCCTTTTTATTCAAAGGAAATTGTATTTTGTAAACCCAACTTCTTCTAAGCTAGTCTGTCATTTCTTTTCAGAAATGTTTCCTGTTTCAAAATTGAGATCCGCCCCTACATTTTTTGGTTTGGAATGCATTTTGATTGAATTTTAGTGGAAATCTTAATTTTAGTTATTTTGTTGAATTAATTAAATGTGTTTCACCTGATATATGATTATTTCCCCCCCGGGCTCAATAAAGTACATTTAACCTTAGCTTACATGTCTCAACTACTGTAAGTATGAGTAAACGATCAAATTCTTTTCTTTCGTTTTTTTATGATGTTGAACTTAAGCCATAACACGCTCCGGAAAAGTTTCCCTGCATTTGTATGTCTGTCTGACAACCATAAGCATGGTGGTTAAATGCACATTATTTATTACGGCTGTACATTTGTCCAGGCTGGATCTTGAGGAGGTGGATGGGGTCGGCTCTGTATTAGAGACACAGCCCCAGTTTGCATGTTGGCTGGTGTGAGGGAGATGCTTTCGTAAGCCTTGGTGTGAGAGGTGCAGCACCTTGCAGCTTCCAGTAGACTGAGAGTGACAGCTCCAGGGTGACCCCCCCCCCCCATCACCAGGGTGTGAAACACTTCATGCCGAGACCTCGGTCAGCAGCGTAAAGAGCCGCCCTGTGTCATACCAGTTACGTAATGTCCACTGCCAGGCTTGTCTTGCCCTGTGGCATTTTGGAAGGGAATACAGATGTGGGTATTTGGAGACACTGGAGGGGCATTATGAGAATGTAAAATCTCTTTGATCGCCATTTCTTTCGAAGAGCAGCTCTCATGATTCACTGTGGGCTGCTTTAAATAAAGGTCTGAGTGAGTTTTTAATGCAACATTCTTGTTTTTATTGTTGTTTTCAAAGTGAAGAATTTTGAATTTATTGGGAAGAATTCTTCGGCATGTTTAATCTAAATGCATGAAAATGTGTAGTGTTATGGTATTCCGCAGAAGACCGGACCTCTCACAGTGTTGTCCCCCCCCCCACAGGACCCTTCTGGAATGCATTGTCGAGCTGATCCTGCCCGATTGGCTACATGAACAGATTGATGCCCCCTAGCCACCTAACCATACCCGATAACCGCCACTAGAGGGCACCGCCTATTCTGCCTGCTCCATGACTGACCCCATCATGGACCTGTTCGACGAGCAGGGCCTGTTTGCCGGCGGCCTGGAGGATCTCTCTGAGCAGGGCTTTGCTGTCGATACCGTGTCCCTGGTGGATGAACTGGGCCTCAACCCAGAGTTCGAGCCCCTGCGGGTGGACCCGCAGTGCGTGCAGAAGCCCCCAGGCCCTCCAGCCGCCATCTTCTCCCAGCCGGACCTGGCCTTCGAGCCAACGGACACTGCTCTGTCGCAGCCCCCCCAGTACCAGCGGGCTCCTCCACAGCGGGCGGCACCCGTCGACCGCCCATTTCCCGACAGTAGCCCCATGTGGGGCAACCAGGAGTTGGCTGTGAGCCCCTTCCAGCAGGTGGCGCCGCAGAGGGCCGAACAGCTCCCACAATCAGGCTGTTTCCAGCTCCCCCAGCAAGGCTTGGATCCCCAGCCTCTTCCCCAAGCCGACTTCTACCCAGCAGACCCCAGCCTCAAGCAGCAGCAGGTGGGCGCTCATGACCCCAGCAGCACCCTGCCGCTTAACGTGGAACATGGTCAGAGCCCCTTCTGTCAGGGCGACGCCTCCAGTGCCTTGGGCCAGCTCCCCACCTTCCTGGACACGCCGAGTGGCCCGCTTTCTGGGGGTCTTCCTCAGCAGGGCGGGCCGCAGTACCCTGGCTCCACAGTCCTCTCCTCCTGCTTGGCTGGCTCTGGGCCAGCCTACACCCCGTACTCTGTCCACGGGCAGCTGGCCGTCCAGCCTCCGTCCTCCGCGTCGGTGATTCCCAGCGGCCCCGGTCCAGTCGGCGGCATGCTCTCGTCCACGTTCTCCGGGATGGGCGACGAATTTTCCTTCGGCCCTGAGGTTAGTCAGCAGCAGCCTGGTCCTGCCCACCCGGGCGAAAGCGGCCCCTTCCAGGATACGGACCCCGCGAGGCAGGCCCCCGGAGGCTACGGCAGCGTCGAGCTCTTCCCCGAAGCCCTCTGTGGTTATGGTGGCACCGTAACCCAGCAGCGTGGCACCTCTGACCTTGTTCCACCGTCTGTGACCAACAACACCAGCTACCAGGCCCTGGAGGAGAGCTTGCTGCAGCAGGTGGGTGTCCACGCCAGCAGCTTTGAAGGCCTGGACCCCCCCGACCTCCTAGAGGATGACCTCCTTCCCCAGCTGGAAGCTGCCTTAAATCAGGAGACAGCCCTGGTGCATCAGGAATCACCCAGCTACCCCTGGCCAAACGGCAACCCCCCCTTCTCAATGAGCTTCGAAGCAGCGGTGAGTTTAAATACTTCCTGTTCCTATTGGCTCAGTTGTTGAGACGTTTTCACAGTAGGTAGGATGTGCAGCAGTGCTTAGAAATCAAAATCAGTACTTCCATTGTGGACTTCGCTGACAAATAAGTCCTTGAGCTAGTTAGATTCCGTTGTTTCAGCCTTAAGCAATGAACCAGAGCAGAGCAGAGCTGTCTTTGGGAGGAAAGAGTTTATTTCCAGATGATGCTCTTTGGTGCAGTAGATGTTACTAAACGCAGCCTTTTCAACCTTCCTCTCCAAACTTGTGTGTGATACTGGCCTTTTTACAGATCGTGTTTGATCTCAGCCAGGCAAGTGCACTTTGCCGTTTGGGGGGGGTTTCTAATTACCATTACTATTACGGGAGGCTACACAAGCTAGGATTTCTGTGACAAAATAGTAGAACAAGCAGGAATATAACAAAGTAACAGCAAAATCCCACTAGGTTGACTCCTTTTTTGCAATGTAGGTCAGTGGTTTTTGGGTATCAGGTCCGACGGTGCGGGGAGCAGCTTGGTCGAGGTCATCTCAGTGACCTTTCGCCTCAGAGCTGACATCACCTGCTCCTTTGTTTTCAACAGCCTCCCACACGCCCCGATTCCAAGCTAATGATTGTAGGGAAGCTGATGTCATCTCTATTACACAGGGACTGTTGAGCTCTGTACTGCCCCCTTCAGGCTAAGTGAAGCTAAGTACAGATTAATAGCTGCATAAGTAAGTCTGCTTACTATGAGGTTGTAATGAGATGGGCAGCAGAGCTTGTCTGTGACTAATCTCTACTGTCCTTAAAGTTTTGTGTGTGTGTATTAGGTTTATATTACATTGTGGGGACCAAATGACTCACACAATGTATTAAAATACTGTTATTTTAATGTTGTGGGGACCATTTTTTCAGGTCCCCACAAAGATCTGTGAATGCATTTGAACAACTAAAAATGCCAAAAGTCTCGTATTTTGTTTGGTTACTTATGTTTAAGGTTATGGCTGGGTAGGGGTTAAGGCCGTTATTGTTTGGATTAGAGTTTTTCCCATAGAAATGAATGGAGAGTCCCCACAAAGTTATAAGTGCAAACTTGTGTGTGTGTTTTGTGTGTGTGTGTGTGTGTGCGCGCGCACGTGTGACCTGACTTTTGTATTTGCATGTGTGCATGATAGTGGTGGGAATTGGCAGAGACCTCCCAAATCAATATTTTATTGATATTTGTTGCTGATTCGATATGTAATGCAATTTTTCAAATAGTTTTTGCCAAAGAGTGTTTCAGATCTGCATTTAAAGTAAATTGAATAAATACTTTTCTTGACGGTACATAAATTCACAAGATGAGTAAATGTTCAATACAGAAAACATTGTGTTAGTTGTTGCTGTGAGTTAGCTATGGTTAATGCTGGTTACAGGGCAATCATAACTGGCAGCTTAGAAACATTCTGGTTTCCCAATGAGTTACACCAACAGCGGGAAGAGAGGAGTTACTAAGACAAAGAGTATCTGTCGGCTGTGGTACTCGGATCTGAACTCGGATATGCTGCTGCAAACACATCCAACACACAAACTCATTTGAGACGACATCTTCTGAGTGTGTGTACGACCAGATCAAGGCAGAAACTGCCTATGAATTAATCTCCTCCTTGGTGTATGAGGCACAATCACCACAGAACTCAAACAGGGCTAAAAAAATCATTGAAGCTATCGGGGTTTATTGCTACAGATATGGATTTAGCTCATTATAATTGTTACAATGCAGTCTTACCTTAGATTTTTCATTTGTTTTACGTATTTATTTTTACTGTGCAAATGAGCGTCTCTTCGATGTTGTTATTCAGACCTGTCAACAGACACATTCCCTTATGTTTGGTTTTCAATTGTTCCTACATTGTGTTTGTAGTTTTAATAATAAACAGGAATCAGAACAAATTCTGTTTCTGTGTTGTACTGAAATTGCACCAGACTGTGAAGCTCAGCAGGCAGCCATACTCATGTCTAGGTGTCCATTAACTTTATACTGTAGAATACAAAGTTTGCACATTTTTTTATATTAGCATGAACAAATGTGACCAAAAGAATTATAGTAACCTGAATTTAAAGTGATATCCGAAATTCTATTTTAAACTCTTGTGGCAATCTAAAAATCGCCACCTCGAAGAATTGTAGCTGCAATCCCCCCACCCCCCACCCCCCCACTGCTGCTTCCCCCAGTGTGTGTCTCTAGAAGTTTCCAAATGTAACCACAGCTTGGGAGTTCAGTCCACATTTAAGCAGCTTCTCATCCCTGGAGGACAGAGTTGTGCCATATAGCAGGTGCTTAATTTGTTTTTTTTTTGCTCTCTCATTGTGTTAAAATAGATAAATTTTTTGCTATTCATAAAACCACTGGCCTCTTCACTTACTTGTGATCATGTGACAGTGAGCAAAGTCTATGATGTCATGGGTGAATTCCTGCCATTGGTGGCTCTGTGGGAGCTGCACACGATGATGGATGGGGCTCGATCTCCCCCATAAATGCCAAGGCTTTCCAAGGCCCCTCTACCACAGCCCCGTCCAGATCTCAGCTGCGATTTACACGCAGTCGTTATCCCTGCTTAGTTCATTAGTTCGTTAAATACATCCAGCTCCATCTGTCGGAGAACCACGTGTATAAAGATCTTTGGGCCACCTGAAAGGAGGGTGACTTGCTCCTTCTGCTTGTACACTGGTGGTAATTCGGTTTACCGTGGTATACTGGGTGTTTTGTATTTTGGATATTTTGGGTGTAGTGCTGTATTTTGAAATCTTGGTGACAAATTCTCTCTCCTTTCCACATGTTTGGCAAACGATGTCGTGGGGGATCCTGCCCCTCTTTCAGGAATTTTTTTGTTTGGGACGCCTCAACACAGCAAATCTTGTATTGTGGCAGACCGCCCCCCTGCCCAAGCCCACTTCTGAGATGTGTTGATTGATGTGCCCCCCTCCTCTGGTGCCATGCAGATCCATGTAACATTCGTTACTTTAAACACAGGAAAGATCTGAATCCATGAGCCCGGCCAGCGACAGGCCACTTTGATACAAAAGAATCATGGAGCAGGTCGAAAGTCGTTGAGCGACGGGCACCATCGCCAGGGTAAGCGGGCGATGGTGCCCAGAGGCTGACGCGTCATTCAGGAGCTGTCAGCTTTGACACTGTAAGGGTCTTTCCGCTCTGGCGCTGTCACACCATCGGTTTTTTTATTTTTTATTTTTGCCTGTTACTGCTAGTTCAAAACGTGTCAATTTTTTTTTTTTGCTCACTTCAATATTTTATTCTGTTTTGAATTTTTTTTTTTCCATGGCAATCCTGCTTGGCAGCCTGCTGAGGCTGGATGGATGGATGAATCTCTGTTAGCCAGCCAGCCGGTCTGCGCCGTGTGACCCTGCCGGGGAGTCTGTGACGTTCCCGTTGCTCTTTTCCTTAGTTGGAATGAAGTACATCCGGTTGCCAGTGAGAGATTTCCACATCTTAGCCCGTAGGCAGCCAGATCATCTTAGGAACTTTGCCATGAGTACAGACTAGAATGGATGATTCTTTATTTTCCCACGGTGCTGTGCAATAACTCGTTGATTAAACCTGGTGCCCCCCCCTTGATATCTACTGTGTGCTCTCTCTTGGACCCTGGTGAGTCTCTGCTGAGGAGAGCTGGACCAATGTCCCTGTCCTGGGGGGGGGCTGATGAGTGGGGGGGTTGCATTTCTGGAGAGGCCGCTGTTGGCAGCTTGGCAGTTAAGAGCAGGCAGCTGTTGGCTGGCTAAATGCTAACAGCTACGAGCAACTTCCCCAGACACAGTGAGAGGGCATGTAAAGCAGTGCGACTGGGCAGAACAACAGATGTCAGTATGTTATTTATTATATATTTTTTTTTAGTCACCCCGCCCTTGTAGCTGCAGTCTGTCGAGATAGAAAAATGGTGGGGGGCACGCTGGAGTGAGAGTGGATGACAGGGGACAAATGCTAGATTGCCTGTCTTGTCGCTTCCTGACCTCACTTGGAGGGAGGGGGGTTATGTAACTCTGAGCCAAGCCTGAAACCCTACACTGTGCCACTCACAGCTCGGGGGGAGGGGCCGGGATCGGAGGACCCGCCCACTGAATTTCTCTGATTGGCTGGCTCACTTTCCCCGACCCGCCCACCTGAGCACCTCTGACTGGTTGTCCGACTCGCTCTCCCGGCCTGCAACTTCGTCCGCCTGCCTGCTAGGGAAAGGAGCCGGGAAGGGGGGGGGGGGGGGGGGGGGGGGGGGTGGACAGGAGAGGGAGGGGGAAGTTGTTCTTGGATTGAATCTCCGAAGAGCATGTGGGATATTTGCCAGCACAAACTGCACAGTAAGTCCGACAAATAAGTGTGTTTCTTCTCTCGTCCTCTCTGTCTTTCATCTTTTAATGTGAGCACTGAGTCATTGTGCCTGTTTCTTATTCCCTTAGTCAGTGGTTTAGGGGAGCGGATTTCTTTATTTCTTTATCTTTTTGTGCGACTCTCCGTGTGCTGGGTTTTTGTCTGGCTGGAATGTCAAACCACGGGTGGTGACGCAAGGTCCCTGACTTGTCCTTCTGAAACCCCCCCTCCTCCCCAAGCTCCCTCCCCTTCCCCCGGGAGTTAACCTCTCGCTGGCAGGAGAAGCCAGGAGAAGTACGGGGGCAGAGCTGGGCCTCTCGTGGGGACACGGCAGAATGCGAGTCCTGGTTGTTTCGGGTCCTCTTTTTGATGAATGGACATCCGCCAGGGCCATCGACTGTGTGCAGCTTCCTTAAAGGGCCGCGTTCACCCTGGCTGCCTCATTTATTTTAACATTCAGATCCGCGATCCTGCTTTTTGTGCATTCCTTTGCTTTTTGTGTTCTGCGTTAGAGTTTGGTTGACTGTCATTCGTTTGGGACATCGCCGTGCCGACAGGTAGACGCTCAGAGGCCGACCGAGCACCAGGTCTATTTTTCGTTTGTTTGTTAAAAGCCTGTAGAACAACATTTTAATGCCATTGA